GGCCCTTCTCGCGGCTGCCCGTAGCCCAGCGGCTCCCTGGGTGGTGGAGCGGGAGCCGGGTGCTCGCGGGCACCGTTCCCCAAAGCCTGAGAAACCCCAGGATGTCTGAAAGGGGCTGGAGAGAGCCAAGGGCTTGGAAATCTCCTCCGGGATGGAAGGAGAGCGCTACCTCCGTCCCCGGGTGCTCCCACCCTGAGCACCTGCGCCGCCCTGAGCGGGTCTTGCAGCACCCGTGCCCGCGGGCGAGGGCTCAGGCTGTGAGCCTTGGTTTGGGCTAGCAACCCGTGCTCTGGAGACTGCTTTCTGAACTGTCCTGAAGTTCAGAACTGAACTTTCTGAGCAGGTGGAGCATCTCTGCTCCCAAAAGATGACCTTACCTGAGCTGCTAACATGTAGGAAAAAGGTGTTCGTTGTGCTGAACAGTAGCATTTGTTTGGTTTTTGGTTTTTTTTTTTTTGACAGAGTAAAATTGGAAGAGATAGTCGCAGATGATTATGAAGAGATAGATGATGGCTTCTCTTATACACCAAAAGAAAACAAAAAAAGGCGTAGACAAAAGCAGGAAGAGGAAGAATTCTCTAGGAATGAAGACAGGCATAAAAGGGAAAAGAAAAAGAATAAACATAATCCTGAGTATTCCTCTTGTAGGGAAGAGACCTCTGTAGATATTCGTGACTCTCAAAAAAGGTACAAGAAAAGAAAAAGAAAGGAAGAAGTTAGTGGAAGAAATAGACTCACAGAAGGTAAGGAAGAGAGCTCTACTGACCAATCTAAAAAGCTTAAAAAAATGGAGAGGGAGAAACAGTTGGCAACAAAAAAGAAGGATGAAAAGCAGATAAAGGCCGCTGCAGCAAAGATGGCTTTAGAACAGGCAAATGAGAGCTTTTTTCTAAATTCTGGTAAAAATAACACCAAAAAAATCACAACGCAGTCCGGAAAAAAGAGGGTGGGAGCTTCAGATTCCTCCAGCACGTCATCTGACAGTGACAGCAGTGAATTAAACATAGAGCAAAATAAATCTTCCCATAAACCTGTAGTGGCAGCACTTCCCAAAGGCAAATCCCAAGCTGCTGCAAATTCTGATGTGAAAACTGTTGTTTCTAATAAAGTCACTGTAAAGTCTAACGCTGAAAATTCCACTAAGACTGCAAATAGTAAAAATGCTAAAAAATCCCAGTCCTCTAGTTCAGATTCTGACTCAAGTACAGAGGATGAGAAAGTGGCAACGGCACAAGACAGTACTGCAAAGGAAAAGTCACTGCCTGACAATGTGGCGGCTGTAAAAACCAGTACCACCAAGGCTCCCAAAGCAAAGACCTCCTCTTCAGAGTCTGATAGTTCAGATTCAGAAACACTTGTTATTAAAAAACCCGCAGCGAATGCTGGACCGAGTAATTCCGTAGTAAGAAACTGTACTAAACAGTTGCCAACCAGTATTCAAGGACCACTTGCCAGCCCAGGTCGTGGAAGGGGGCGTGGAACAGGAGAGGATAACTTCTGGAGAGGACCTAGGGGCCGTGGGTTTCGTGGGATGATGAGGGGCCAAGGCCGTGGGAGAGGAGCAAACCCTGGCTTCTTCTATAACTACAGCAGTGAAGGCCAGAAACAGAGGCAGTTAAATGAAGCTGCGACAAACACTTCTGTTCTTGTCCAGGTGAGTGACTTACGCAGTCATAGGTCACCTTTCTCTTGCAGCTTTAACTGTACAAAAAACGTGTAGGACGAGAGTAATAGATTAGTAGGATAAAGGTTGATCTTAACTTAGTAAATCTGATATTTACTGTATCATCTCCATTTAGCAGCCTGAGGAAGTGTTTATGAAACAACATTTAAGTGATTGTATTATATATCTCAAAACAAAGCACTCGGATGCATACCTTACTCTTCTCAGAACGTCTTACAATCCATACAGCATAAACATTGTCTTCTGTTTTTATTAATGCAGTAATTAAATCAGTGCGTTTACCGTTTGTTTCACAGAATCCCGTGGAAGTCCCCAAGAGAGACTATAGTGTGTTACCTCTTCTAGCTTCCCCACCACAAGTGGGAGAAAGAATTGCCTTTAAGGTAAAGAACTTGTGAAATACTGAATGTTAGCGGGCTAAATTGGTTTCATTTGGGCCACTGTAAGTTTTGCAGGACATGCTACAGATAGTGTAGTCTTGACAACCAAAAGCTTACACTGAAGAACTTAATCTTACATTGTTCTGGGTCTGTTATCCTAGAAATATTAGAGTTGGGAAGTAGTCTTCATCCTACTTATTTGTTCTTTTTTAAAAATTTTGTTTCAAACTTAAGCAGATGGTTCAGCACCTAAAATGTCGTGTCTACTGATTGTAGGCATCTCTGAAAGCGTTCACTCCTCTCTTGCTGTCTTTCTAATCTAATAGTTTTCCCATACAACAGAAACTGTTACAGTTTTCTTTTTACAACAAAAGCATTTTTTAAAATTCTTTTGTTGTAAAGTCTGACTTTGATTTTTACAAAGGTTTGGAGCGTGTGCATAAGTTAAATGCATTTCTTTAGACTTCCTGTATTTGTATCACACAACGAAATGTTGTCTCTGCTGTCATTTCAGTGTGAATTTCCATGTACATCTGTACAATGACTCTCCTAACTAGCACACAAGTCAGTTCACAAATAATAGAATTTTCTGGTTGCACCTTCACAAAGTCTCTCTCTCTACCATGGGCATATTCTCAAGGTTTATGTTTAAATAAGAATGCCAGAAAGAAGCACGTTACCCCTCTCTTTCCAACGT